TTTGTTTGTATTAAATGCCAAATACTTTGCTTTTGCTGTGAGAGGGCGCCGACACCTTCACTTTATATGGTTCTTCGGGATGCACCAGCATTGTTGGCACCGGTAGTCCTGTCTCTCTGTCGGACCTGTTGTATGAGAGGATTGGGCGGAAATATACGGCGCAACATATCGGCATCCATACCCCTCTTTTGGTTGGTTGACTGACCACTTGGCTGCTGGCGCTGAGTCGGTCTACTTGGGGGCGGACTTACCTGACTTGTGGGTTGACCCCAATAACTAGCAAGCGGGTCGTATCCACTGGCACCGGGATTCCTGGTGTTCAACTGATTGTTCCTGGGGGTGCTGCCACCTCTGTAGGTACCCCTCCCTCTGAAAGCTCCAATTCCGTTGACTGGGGGAATATATCCACTTCTGTAGCCACCCCTTCCCCTTTCAGCTCCAGTTCCGCTGGTTGGGAGATAATAGCCACCTCTGTAGCCACCCCTCCCTCTGAAAACTCCAGTTCCACCGGTTGGGGGATAATATCCACCTCTGTAGGCACCCCTCCCTCTGAAAGCTCCAGTTCCGCTGACTCTACGATTCCCTCTACCAAACCAATTACTCCACACATTAGATGTGCCTCTCGGGGGGTTCGCAACTCTGGGTAACGGCCTAACATACGCCTGTCCACTCGACCTAACATAGGCCTGTCCACCTATAAAGCGACGCTGTGGTTGACAGTGGCGCCTACCGGTGCAGAATAGGTAGTATACGACGAATAGAGCCAAATATATGCCGTAATAGATGCCGAGTCGGGGTAACTGGGCCCGGACACACTTGCGGGGCATACGACTAACGCACGCCACTTGGATGTAGAGCCAGGTGCCGAACCCCAGCACCAGTAGTCCAAACCCGAACCGTAGGCCTCCCGATAGAAAGCGTTGGAATTTGCAGGATTGGGGTTGGGATTGGCCTCGTGGAGGGGCACACATAAACCTGGTTGGTTGTCCTCTTCTCTGATTACCTCTAGAGGCCTGGTATCTCGTTCTGGTATTTCCGGTACAGTTCCCATAGCATGGCATGTCTTCAACTTCTGATTAGAGACTTTGTGTTCAGACTTTTGAGTGATTTTTAACTTTTTTGTTAAACTTTTTTGTTTAGAAAATTTTTTATTAAAATTAATTAAACTCCAAGAGTTGACTATAATTAATTTATTGTTTTATTATCAAGGATAACTTATTAATTATTTTTAATTGCGAATATTTATATTGTATTTTATTTCTATCATATTCACAATTAATACTAAAATTTTATATAAAAACTCGGATAAAAATGTTCAACAAATTATTAATTGTATTTAAATTATGTACAAATATTTCATGTGATATGTGTCCGGTGCTTATGACTCATTACTTTCCAAACTTTCCGATTGATTTTGAATTATGAAATACAGGAATACCATGGTAAGCATTGTAAGTACTACATCAATGGCAACGGCACCCAAGTGTCCATTGACCAGGTTTAGTATTATGAATATTGTTTTCTGTTGTTTATACACCATTATAAATATTTATATAATTAATGTAATATTGGGCTTCAAATANTGCTTACAATTTCCTTAATTCTTATACCGATTTGAGACAACACTTCATTCATTGGACAATTGATGGCAATAAGCTATACATCCGACACATAACATCGTACATCCTCTGGAGCTCATACCTGTTTCAGATTAACGCCTTTCCACTCACTCACCGATTCTAGACTTGATTTGCGGTTATTTTGACCACTTTTTCCAACAAATAATCGTCGAAACCAACGACCAAACTGTCCCTTTTTGATAGACTTCCGATTGGGGACTAATATCGGAATCAGTGCTTTGGTATCATTGATGTCCTCCATTTCCATTCCAATGGTATCTGAGTTCTCATTACCTTTGATAACCTCCATGTCCTCAATATCGCCGACCAATTCATTTAATCCCAGATAATAGCCATTGAATTGTCTCAAAAGGCATTTGAAACGATACCCCTCTTCGAGTGATTCAAAATTTTGTGGTCATTTTGAATGCATTTCGTGTTAAGTATAACTAATTTAAATATAATGAACTCATTTGATAAATGTTTTACAAAACAATGATTTTAGTCATAAATGAAACTCAAATGTGAATCAATGGACACTCATTGCATGTAAAGCTTATTGTATTGACAAATACTATGACCCAGGCATTACTTAAAATCAACTATCCAATCAAAATAGTCTAAATATTTGTAAAATAGTTTTACAAAAGTGTAACAAATTGTTAAGACATAATTAACACTAACAGTAAATGGTAGTTTATAATACAATCAAAAATTGTCAAATAAATTCAAAGAATATTTTTTTGTAGAAAATCCTTTATTAAAACTAATGAATGCTATGTTTTATACCATAGTATTCACTGTATGTCTGAATTAGGTTTTCAATACAATAATAAATTTTTTGTTTGTATTAAATGCCAAATACTTTGCTTTTGCTGTGAGAGGGCGCCGACACCTTCACTTTATATGGTTCTTCGGGATGCACCAGCATTGTTGGCACCGGTAGTCCTGTCTCTCTGTCGGACCTGTTGTATGAGAGGATTGGGCGGAAATATACGGCGCAACATATCGGCATCCATACCCCTCTTTTGGTTGGTTGACTGACCACTTGGCTGCTGGCGCTGAGTCGGTCTACTTGGGGGCGGACTTACCTGACTTGTGGGTTGACCCCAATAACTAGCAAGCGGGTCGTATCCACTGGCACCGGGATTCCTGGTGTTCAACTGATTGTTCCTGGGGGTGCTGCCACCTCTGTAGGTACCCCTCCCTCTGAAAGCTCCAATTCCGTTGACTGGGGGAATATATCCACTTCTGTAGCCACCCCTTCCCCTTTCAGCTCCAGTTCCGCTGGTTGGGAGATAATAGCCACCTCTGTAGCCACCCCTCCCTCTGAAAACTCCAGTTCCACCGGTTGGGGGATAATATCCACCTCTGTAGGCACCCCTCCCTCTGAAAGCTCCAGTTCCGCTGACTCTACGATTCCCTCTACCAAACCAATTACTCCACACATTAGATGTGCCTCTCGGGGGGTTCGCAACTCTGGGTAACGGCCTAACATACGCCTGTCCACTCGACCTAACATAGGCCTGTCCACCTATAAAGCGACGCTGTGGTTGACAGTGGCGCCTACCGGTGCAGAATAGGTAGTATACGACGAATAGAGCCAAATATATGCCGTAATAGATGCCGAGTCGGGGTAACTGGGCCCGGACACACTTGCGGGGCATACGACTAACGCACGCCACTTGGATGTAGAGCCAGGTGCCGAACCCCAGCACCAGTAGTCCAAACCCGAACCGTAGGCCTCCCGATAGAAAGCGTTGGAATTTGCAGGATTGGGGTTGGGATTGGCCTCGTGGAGGGGCACACATAAACCTGGTTGGTTGCCCTCTTCTCTGATTACCTCTAGAGGCCTGGTATCTCGTTCTGGTATTTCCGGTACAGTTCCCATAGCATGGCATGTCTTCAACTTCTGATTAGAGACTTTGTGTTCAGACTTTTGAGTGATTTTTATTACAACAATAGGTCAACACTTTTGTGTTAAACTTTTTGTTTAGAAAATTGTTTATTAAAATTAATTAAACTCCAAGAGTTGATTATAATTAATTTATTGTTTTATTATCAAGGATAACTTATCAATTATTTTTAATTGCGAATATTTATATTGTATTTTATTTCTATCATATTCACAATTAATACTAAAATTTTATATAAAAACTCGGATTAAATGTTCAACAAATTATTAACTGTATTTAAATTATGTGCAAATATTTGATGTGATATGTCTCCGGTGCTTATGAAATACGGGAATACCATGGTAAGCATTGTAAGTACTACATCAATGGCAACGGCACCCAACTGTCCATTGACCAGGTTTAGTGTTATGAATATTGTTTTCTGTTGTTTATACACCATTATAAATATTTATATAATTAATGTAATATTAGGCTTCAAATATAAGTTATCAATTAAGTGATGAGTTTTAAGGTTAATATTTTCAATTTTTAAAATCAATTTTGTTTTATATATAAATTTTTATAAAAGTTTTTTGTGTCGATTTATTGTTTTACTTATATTACCAAAACACAACAAGGTAATCCTGTATTTATAAATTATTAGATCAATTGAACACATAGTATGAAGTAAATTTTGTATTGTCAGTAAATTATAAAGGATTTTTGACAACTTCAGAGGATATAGCATGGTAATAATTCCTATTTCGATATTATACATATGTATTATAATATATACTTTACAATATTTCCATTGAATTTAAAGATTTAGTAATTACATAATATGTATGTATCAAGTATAATTATGTTTTACGCAGAAATTTATTATTATAACTTATAAGTATAATCCTAAAATTGTCTAAGTCTTATATAAACGTTACTTAGAAAATAGTTTGTTTATTGTTATAACCATATTATAAACATGAAATAGTGTCAAAATTAAAGCTAAAAATTTCAGTGAAATATTTTATTTTGGGTTAAATATTTAACTTATGTGTTTATTTCATCATTTATAAATGTAGCTAAAATTATAAATATAAAGATCATATGCCAGAATTATTATTATTAAAATCATATCTATTACCGGTAACTATAATTTTATAATTCACTTTAAATATAATCAAAATTAAAAGAAATAAATTAAAATTTATTTTCATCTGAAATATTTTAGTAAATATTATTTTAGTATTAACTAAAATATTTAAAGTTAAATTTATGAAATATTTCACCTTAGTCAAAATCAATTGCTTACACACGTTATAACTTAACTGTTTTAAGATTAATTAAATCAATACATAAATTAATAAATGAATGAATATTATGAACACAAAATATATTTATAATTTTCATAGAATTTAATGTAAAATATTAGCACTTAAATGAATTTGTAATCAAATTCATTGATTTATTAAATACACGACTATTTCATACGTTTACACCTTATTAGTGTTCGGGACCTCCAGTCCCTCATTTTGCTTCTCTATGATAAGGCATAGGAATACCCCGGTCAGTATGGAAGTAACAATACCGTACAGGCCAGAGCGTACCTCACCAGTGGTGAGGTTCATGGTAAATCCTATGATTTGCAGCACCAGTAGAGTTGTTACAATCCATTTGATCTCTTTGATGATACCCACCAGACCCACGACCGATATTAACAGACCAAACACTCCGGCTATCAGTCCTACAGTCACTGTAATATAGGATAGACATGCGATGAGCAATGTAGTAATATTAAGATTTTAATAATTTTTTATAAACATTATATTTATATATTAATTTTCTTATAATGAAACATAATTTATAATATTCAATATAAATATGGGAAACTATTATAATATAGTAATATAGACAATACTATAATTTAAATAAAATAATATAATTAACAAATACATTACAAGTATGATTGTCAACTTTTTGCTCCTTTTGCGTTAATCCTAAGCTTAAGACCACGATGATAAACACACACCCGATAATAGACAATATATACAGCACTTCTAACCCGATTTTAACCCCGGTCAGGGCTTTCTGATTCTTAAAAGCCATTTTTATCGTACTTAACCGCTATATTATTATTGAGTTTTTGTTCAACTGGTATTTGATTAAAATGTTTAGCAAATTATTTAACGACTTATTATTATTTTACAGTTACAGTTATGAATATAAAAGGCGTTTGGAGTTGAGATCAAGGACTGGTAGGCATTTCTTACCATTCCCTAGATCACTCCTAGTTTTTATGTTACATACATTATTTGTAATACAGTATTAGTTTATGAGTTAATTCTTTATAAATACATTATCAAGATTTCACTATTAATGCGATACAAGACTCTCAATTTTCAAGACAAATTTGTTTTATTTGTTTTTTTAATAAAAACATATAATAGCATAATAGCACTTTAATAGTGCTTGATAGCATTCATTCAGTTAAAGTGCTTGATAACATTCATTCAGTTAAAGTGCTTGATAGCATTCATTCAGTTAAAGTAACTTTTTAGCCCTCAATTGTGTAATTAATTATGATTATCATCGTGTTTTTCAGATATGGTTTTTTTGAATAAAATGTTTGTAATGTATTTATATTATGAAATATGTATTTATATTTTAATACATCAATTTAGATTATGCATTACAAAGTTTATTCAATGATAACTGTTTTTAACAAAGTGTATTGAAAACGTGTAAATTTGTATCGAAATCATAATATGATTATGTAAACTAAGACAATTTGTTTAGATTTGACTCAAAAGTACTGGTAAAATATGAGTATAAATTAACCTAGTATAAGATTGGGATATAGGAAAAATATTAATTTTGACCAACACTATTGAATCAAAACGAAACAAATTTTACTTAAAGTTTACAAAGTAGCTTTCGTATTTATTTTTATAAAATTAGAAAGTGGAAACTTTATAATTTAAAGGATTTACAATAATTTTCAGTGTATGCTTTATATTTTATGATAAAAACTGTAACTTTTATATTAACATAAACTTCATACAAATAAATATTATAATGCATTTTTGAATGTGTTTATTATAATGCAAATATTATTGCATTCACTTTAGTACAGAATCTGTACAATAGATACGTAATTGTACTTGGTATTTTATTAATTTCAAATAGTTTTTTATTAATTTTCTCATAAAAATAATGTTCATCTAAAAAATCACTGTAGACTAGTGATATAACTAAATAAATAAATAAATCAACCTTGATTGTGTAATACAGAATCGGAATTCGGAATAAAAGTTCAAAATCCAATTTCGCTGACATAATGGTCCCTCAAAAGCACGTGAAGTTTGTTTACCATTTGTAACACTGTATTGAAAGTGAACACAAAAATCACTTTTAATTGTAAATGAAAACTTGAAAACACTTTATATTTGTGTAGAAATTGTGGCGAAAAACCATTTGTTGTATAAATTGTGGCGAAAAACCATTTGTTGTGATGATTACACCGCTTAAGACAATTATCCGCCACTTCCTCGTCAGTCATCGACGGTTTAGTACCGATTGTCGGCCACGAATTGACACACTCTTCGACCACAACTCCAAACAGTGGCGAATATTCACCGAAATTGTCACCAAAACGCCGGAACTCCTACTTCTGAACAGTCTGTTCGCCACCAATGGATATCAATTGGTATACCACTTTAAAAATATATATAATTGTGCGCAAAATGTATGATTGTGCGAATATAAATATTAATATTTAAAACATAAAATATAAACATAATTTAATACAAAAATTACAAAAAATAAACAAATTAATTGTACTGAAAAAATGGATATAAATATTTGATACGAAAATATGACGGGGGTATCATAATTAAACGTGAACTGTAGTGGTATGCCTTTGTTTCTGTATAATGTAGTGCAGAAATAGCATCATAAGTATCATGATGACCAGGTCAGTTATGGACACCACCACAGCCCCACCATATACCAGGTTTATTACGAGACCTCCGATTTGAAACATCAGGAGTATTACGATTATGCATTGACTCTCTTGGATCACACCCACCAGTCCTATCACCGATATTAGCACCGAGATCGCAGGCTCTACCATTGACCTGGCCACTGGCAACAAATGGATATAGTTCAATTAATTTTGTAGTTTCGTATCGTTTATATTTATCATGGTCAAACTTAGTGAAAACTTTATATTTACTTCTTTTGTAGTCTTCTTTGGTATTAGTTTGTGGTTCCCGTTGTATTGAACGAAATGCATTGACAATCATATAAATAAAGCCAATGATAGCCAGCATGTATAACAAAATTAACACAATTTTAACCAGGGTAAGCCTTGTTTGGTGCTTAAAAGCCATTATATCACACGATTAGATTATACTGTATTTCGGAGTACATGTGAATCCCGTATGAAGTGTGCGTTTGTTTTGACATTTAGTTATCAACAAAGAAAAAATGAGTCAACACTTAGGATCAAGGTTTAGGAGACTTCCCATTTTAAAACCAGTTTTATTTAATTGCTTTTGGGTTTGTGTGAATGTGAATGGGACAAAGGGTTTCATATAAACAATAGCATTGATTTAAATATTAGACTTAGAAAGTACAATGTATTTGAAAGCTGTAATGGTAACCATTGGAGACCATTAGTTATGACATTATTTTATTTATTATTATCTCATTTTATACATTAAATTAATGTCATTAACACAACATTTTTGATTTATAACAAATATTTATAAATAGTTATAACTTATAACAATACAAATATAAAGTTTGTAATAGTTTATTGACTTTTAAATTTTATTTTCTATTTTCATTTATAGTTATCATACAAATATTACATTTTAAATTATTAATGATTGTAGAGTAACATTGTTAATATTAATAACATTGTTTTTCTCATGAAAAATTTTCTGTTAATGATTTATATATGTTTCGATAATTGTGTGGATATTAAAATACACCCAGTTCCTATAAATATTTTAAATAGTTTTTAAAGATTTATTAAAATAATGAGTATTTAGTATGAGAACATAATATATTTAGAAAAAGTTCAGTATTTAATTAAAATACAATTAAATTAAGAAATACAAATAGTTTATTTATATGGTATACATAAATATTTGATATGATTATGATCCGGTACTTATAACTCAGGAACTGGTGTCATATGATCATCTTTTTGTTTCTGTATGATGAGATACAAAAAGACCACGGTAATCGCGGCAAATACAATGTCAATGAGAGCAGCCTCGACATCGGTGGCGAATCCAAGGTTTATGATTATGAATATGATTTGAATGATGAGGAGTGCTATGATTATCCATTTGTTCTCTTTGATGATACCTACCAGTGCTAACATGGATATTAACAGCCCGACCACTGCATATATAATAGTCGTGGTAACTGTGCACAAAGAATGGTAGTTATAGTTGATTTGTAAAATATATATCATGGTAAATATTACAGTTATGTTGAGCGGCATCGTTGCCCTTTGATATGAGACCAAACCCGTAGACAATTATAAGGAAAATACACGCAATGATAGCCAACACATACAGCACTTCCAACACTATTTTAATAGCATTAAGAAATTTTTGTTGTTTAAACGCCATTATGCTGTATCACATATTATTGTATGATATTTAGATAATAAATCTGATTCTCTGTATATAGCTAACCTAACTTATATCCGTTAGGATTGAAAACTTAATGATCAAGTAGAAAATGGATCTCAACGTACAAAATCAAGGTCTTTACGATGTTTCAAACCAGTTTTGTTTTATTCGTAAAATAGTTAAACGTTACATGCTTGCATTGAAATATTTCACGCGGTTATATCTCACAAAGTTATTTGTTAAATAACTTTTTACATTTTAATCAATTTACGATATTAAAAAGAGTTGTTTAGTAAAAAAAATAATATATATATATACAATATATATGTATATATATGTGAGTATAAGTATATATATATATTATATATATTAAATTCGGTAAATATGCCAATTATTAATAGAATTTAATGTAAAATATTAACTCTTAAAAGAATTTGTAATCAAATTCTTTGATTTATTAAATACACGACTATTTAATATGTTTACACCTTATTAGTGTTCGGGACCTCCAGTCCCTCATTTTGCTTCTGTATGATGAGGTATAGGAGTACCCCGGTCAGTATGGAGGAAACAATACCGCACAGGCCATGGGTCACCTGACCATTGGTGAGGTTCATGATAATTCCTATGATATGCAGCACCAGTAGAGTTGTTACAATCCATTTGATCTCTTTGATGATACCCACCAGACCCACGACCGCTATTAACAGTGTAATCACGACGCTTCCCAATGATATTGACACTGTGTCAAAGGGGGTGGGGTGTCAAAGAGTTTGGCATTAGATTCATTTTCAATATAGTTTTGTAATATGTAATAAGTAATAGTCTATTACAGTAATATTATAAGTATAGTATATTTTTAAAATTACCATGATTTTTATTGATAGCTTTGTTGATATCTGGATCCTTTTCTGCTAATTCGAGCCCAAGGATTACTATCAGAAGCACACACCCAATAATTCCCAGGATATATAACACTTCTAATGCTATTTTCACCGCGGTCAGTGTTTTCTTATGTTTAAACGTCATTATATTATTAATCAAATATTATACTTTATTTAATAACAAATTTGATGCAACCTGATCAAAATTCAGTGTGTATTTAAAAATGAGTTGTCAAATATAAAATACTTTACAATTCAAAATCAAGGTCTTTACGATGCTTTCAAACCGGTTTTGTTTTATTCGTAAAACAGTTAAACGTTACATGCTTGCATTGAAATATTTCACTTGGTATTTCTCACAAAGTAATTTAGTTAATAATTTGATACATCTTAATCAATTTATGATATTAAAAAGGATTGTTTAGTAAAATAAAATAATATATATATATATATATATATATATAATTGGGTAAATATGCCACAATTATTCATAGAATTTAATGTAAAATATTAACACTTAAATGAATTTGTAATCAAATTCTTTGATTTATTAAAAACACGACTATTTCATATGTTTACACCTTATTAGGCCTCGGGACCTCCAGTCCCTCATTTTGATGATACCAGTCCCTCACCTTGATGAGGTATAGGAATGCCCCGGTCAGTATGGAGGTAAGAATACCGTACAGGCCAGAGGTCACCTGACCAGTGGTCAGGTTCAGAATAATTCCTATGATTTGCAGCACCAGTAGAGTTGTTACAATCCATTTGATCTCTTTGATGATACCCACCAGACCCACGACCGTTATTAACAGTGCAATCACGGCGCCTCCCAATGCTATTGACNTAATACTCCTGATGTTTCAAATCGGAGGTCTCGTAATAAACCTGGTATATGGTGGGGCTGTGGTGGTGTCCATAACTGACCTGGTCATCATGATACTTATGATGCTATTTCTGCACTACATTATACAGAAACAAAGGCATACCACTACAGTTCACGTTTAATTATGATACCCCCGTCATATTTTCGTATCAAATATTTATATCCATTTTTTCAGTACAATTAATTTGTTTATTTTTTGTAATTTTTGTATTAAATTATGTTTATATTTTATGTTTTAAATATTAATATTTATATTCGCACAATCATACATTTTGCGCACAATTATATATATTTTTAAAAATATCTCATTATACTTTTAATATATTTTACATTATATAATTGTTTACATAATTTACATTATATAAAATTTATTTTAATTACAAATACTGTATGTATATTGTACAGTACCTATAAATAACTTATACTATGCACACAAATACTCATTTGTATATATTTAGTATGTTATTTAAATAAATGTTTAAAACTGCTAAATGCTTTGTATTGTGGGAATTGGATGTATTCTGCAATCACTGCAATTGATTTTATAACGCAAATCTGTGTGAAAACATTTAACCAAACACTTATAAATATTATTGTATTATTCTCATATTATATTAAACAGTGTATCTTATAGTGTACTGTACTATATAGTGTACAGTATATGATAATTATAAAATTTATTCTTACCTGGGTTAAAATAGGGTTAGAAGTGCTATATATGCTGGCTATTGTTGGTTCTATTTTTATGATTGTCGACGAGTTCGGTGAAAACAAGATAGAGCCTGGTACTGATCAGGATAACGGTAACATTTGTCCAAATAATCTTTGCAGGGTAATTACCTAAATAGAAATTATACTATTACCGTACATGTCATACGCATAGATACAAGCTTAATTATATGGATAGTGATCGGACTGTTCGTATCGGTGGTGGGTTTGGTGGGTGTCATCAAAGAGATCAAATGGATTCTCATAAGTCTACTGACGTTTCAAATCATAAGAGTTATTGTAAACGTCATGTTTATTGGTATGGTGGTGGTGGCCATCGTTGACGTGGTACTCCTTATACTAATCTTGGTCTTATTGTATCTCATAATTAGAGATGTAAGCACTTGTAAGTTACGTAACTTACATTGTAACTTACACGTAACTTACGTGTAACTTACAATCAAAAAATAACTTACATGTACTTACAAACCCATTACTAGCGACACCTACTGGCAAAATATCTGAAACTCACTCTAATAAATTTTAAAATTTACATTAACTTACTTAATTTCCAAAAATAAATGAATTCAGTTAAATTTGTTTATTTAATTAACAATTCTATTATTATTATATTGTTTTTATGTAAAAATGAATTGTTTTATATTGACTATTTAATAATGTTGTGTAAAAATATTTATATGTGATGAAATAATAACTTACGAAAAATACCGTAAGTTACGTAAGTTACCGAGTGAAAAAATAAATTACATGTAATTTTCATCCGTACTCATAATACAGAAACAAAAAATATTTGCAGCAATTTTCTAAATAACTGTACATTTTGTTTAATTAATAATTTGTTAAAGTTTTTTAAATTATAATTTAATCATCCATTTAGAAATTACAACCTTTGACAAAACATGAATATATTCATTGTATTTATTGCATTAACAATTAAAATAGAATTAAATCCAACATTAAAACATGATTATTGAAAAAATTTCTTAATTTTAGCATTCAATTTCAGACCCTTTTCTAATAATCAGTAAATACACAATATTTAAAGTTAAGTCATCGACTTATTAATTTACAATAGTTATGATAAACAGACTTATTTGAATTCAATTCCGTAATACTCACACAATTCAAAGTATTTCCATAAATTGCAACCAAAAAACAGGTTATAGGAGTGAAAGTAAACCTTGATTTAAAAGTTTCATTTTCAAGAGCAACATGTTTTACGCAAAAGCTCAATTTTGTTTACTAAATTTGGTAAACTGTGATTTTTGAAAAAATGGCGTTTAAATATCATAAAAGTCTTACTGTGGTTAAAATTGTGTTAGGAGTGATATACGTGCTGGCTATTATATACTTTATTTTTATGATTTTTAGTGCATTCGGTCTAATAATACCAAATACTAATATAAAAGAAGGTAAGCTACACTGTAGTTTTCGTTTAATTTCACCATGATGAATGTTTATTATAAAAACTTATCTTAATAAATATATTAAATTAACTAATTCCACTGTACTTGACCATGTGCACAGTGGCAAGGACAATTGTAGAATCTGCGATCGGACTGTTAATATCGATAGTAGGACTGGTGGGTGTCATCTTTGAGATTAAATGGATAGTCATTATACTCCTGATCTGTCAAATCATTGGAATTATACTAAACGTGCTTGGTGGTGGTGCTGTAGTGGTGACTATACTGGTACTGGACCTGATAATCTGTGTACTTATCTTGGTATTTTTGGTCCTCCTAATAATGAAACAAAAGCGTAATACACCAGTTAATCAGCCATAATATCCATAAAATTCCTAGGTCATATTAAATATTTGATTCATTTTAATACAGTACAATTTATATGTTATTGTATAAATTTTTGTGTACATGTATTTATATACTGTTTAAAATATTACTTAATAATAATAAATATAAATATCATATAAAATATTAATTTTTATTCATTAATTCATTTTGCGTATGTATTTAAAAATATATATACAATGTATCATATTTTGTATAAACTGTTATAACCGTAGAGGAACTGTATATGAGATCATTGCCAGCATTAAGTGTAACTCATTTTACGGGGAGTTCCTGTTATTAACGTTTTATCAATATATTATATGACACGAATATATTCCGATTGCAGTATTTCTATGATATATGCAAATACATGCAAATATAAAGGAACTCACAATAAATCGTAAACTATCTGTTATTTTATACCAACAAATGGTTGTTTTATGTCAAAGAATTTAATAAGAAATTCACCGTAAAGGCATTACACAAAATATACTGTACTGTATAGCTGGTATGTCTATTATTTACGTATCTACGTAAAATGTTTGATTTTAACATTCAGTCTAAAATTAAACACTCAAACATTTAGTAAGAATTAGTAAATAAAATCATAATTCAAATAAATTTACCGTAACATAAATTATACTACGATTTCAATGATTTCTAATACTTTTCACCCATTTATCTGATATAATAATAAGTTACTGAAAAAACATCTCAAATAAATTATACTGTTGGTTATTTATTGGAAATTGCTATAATTTGTGAAATGATCCAGCTTTTATAATAGAATTCAGACAAATAAGTAAATAAAAATAGAACTAACTAGTTTAAAAACTAAAAGTTTATATAAAATTAATTTTATGTTAGCCTATTTGACAGTCAATTTTCAAATTACATGTTTATACATTTAAGTTATTTAACAATTTATATCTAGATCGGTAAAAATCTTGGTTATTAAACACACCACTAATTTAGGGTCACTTTAATTATTATTAACTATTTGACTATATGATATAAATTTATTTAATAATTGTTTTATTTAATTCATATACTAAAATACATGAGCAGTACCGTTACTGCTATAAAGTACACTGAATGCAAGAATATTCCTCAACTCATAAGAGTACAGAATAGGCGGGACTAACAGCACCTTATTAGGAGACAAGTACACAGTGGCACCTAAACACTACTTACAATACAATTATACGATATCATGGAGTTTAAACACCAGAAAATTCTGACCGGGGTTAAAATCGCTTTAGTAGTGATATCTATTAGTTATATAACCATTGGTTATATTTTGTTGCTTTTCACTTTATTTTGCAACAGCACACGTAATAAATCGGAAACTGATAAAACTGGATGTAACAGGCATATTTTTTCATTTAAGATTTAGTTGTATCATGTGAAATGTTATTATATGATCTATTTTTAATATACAGTGATCTGGGCAATTGTTATACTTGTTATCTGGCTGTTAGCCTGCATAGTAGGACTGGTGGGTGTCATCAAAGAGATCAAATGGATGGTAATCCTACTCCTTATCTGTCAAATATTGGGAGTTATAATAAACTTTGGTTCAGTGGTGTCCATACTTAGCCTGGTCATGATTGGACTTGTCTCGACTTATCTGTACCTCATAATACAGAAACAAAAACATGAAACATCAGCAAATGGACCATAAGTATCGGTACTCTCAAGTCAATCGTATCAAAAGGTTTAGCATTTTTTAAATCAATTAATTTGCGTATATTTTATATAAATTAATTTAATTTATAAATATAATTTGTGTTCATAATATTCATTCATTTATTAATTTATATATTGATTTAATGAATCTTAAACAGTTAAGTTATAACGTGTGTAAGTAATTGATTTTGACTAAATATTTCATAAATTTAACTTTAAATATTTTAGTAAATACTAAAATACTATTTTAATTAACTAATATTAACTAAAATATTTGAAAATAAATTTTAATTTTAATTCTTTTAATTCTAATTATACTTAAAGTGAATTGTAAAATTATAGTTACCGGTAATAGATATGATTTTAATAATAATAATTCTGGCATATGATCTTTATATTTATAATTTTAGCTACATTTATAAATGATGAAATAAACACTTATAAGTTAAATATTTAACCCAAAATAAAATATTTCACTGAAATTTTTAGCTTTAATTTTGACACTATTTCATGTTTATAATATGGTTATAACAATAAACAAACTATTTTCTAAGTAATGTTTATATAAGACTTATACAATTTTAGGATTATACTTATAAGTTATAATAATAAATTTCTGCGTAAAACATAATTATACTTGATACATACATATTATTTAATTACTAAATCTTTAAATTCAATGGAAATATTGTAAAGTATATGTTATAATTCATATGTATAATATCAAAATAGGAATTATTACCATGCTATATCCTTAGAAGTTGTCAAAAATCCTTTATAATTTACTGACAAAACAAAATTTACTTCATACTATGTGTTCAATTGATCTAATAATTTATAA